TTTCTGTCCTGACAGGTCCGATCGGAGGATCGTCATAGAGGAGGAAGCTGACGAAACAAGAGTGCCATTTAATGCTCTAGTTACATAGGGGACGTGGACAGGGAACTGATGCTAACTGACAGATCTGAGAGGCAACGTTGCTGAAGGGCTTGGTCTGTGAATGTGCTTATATTTGACCTCATGAGGAGCCTGCTGGGCTTCACACCGGCAACAAGATGGAAAGCATTTTCAAATGTTGAGAGCATCGGTGTAAATGGGATTAGATATAAACCATGTGCACTGAAGGAGATTTATTAGGGAAATACTTAGTGGAGCAGAGCGGTGAAGAACAGAGCTGATACTGACGGCCAGAGCCTATTCGTTCATTATTTTCTTTACAGTAACATGAAGAGTACCAGTGCAGGTTTAATCAGCAGTTAATCAATGTGATTCAATCATTGTGTTTTAGTTTTATTACTTCATGTGCAGAGCACGGTCCGTCCAGCCGCTATCAGTTAACTGAGCCTTACAGAATAGCCTCTAATCACCCACCGAGGATTTTCTGAGCATGCTCAGACGCCCCCTGCAGGACGTCCATGAGCTGACGGTGTGGCAGGAGAAGTCTTTCTGTCAAACTGGTCTCCTTTGTGACACGTTAGCAATCGGACGAGGCTTTAAGTCTTGATTGTTGGCACTTTAAAAATACTTCTAATCAGGAGAGGCCATAACTTTTCAAATTGCACTATATTTCCATCACGTGTATGTTAGTGTCTAATAACCGCAGTAATGTGTGACTTTTTTAAATTTATGTCGCTATTGCATCGTCCACATCATGCACTCTGTATACGTTACTTTGACTACATGATTATTACGTCCCGATTTACAGAAAATACGTGAAAATCCAAGTTTTAGCTTCCTGGGGTGTAACGAGGGTATTTGCAGAGGCCCGATTTTGCCCTGAGGCCATCGACTGTATGTCCGCCCCCCCACCACCCAACCCACCCGGCTGTCCTGTCTTTAAAAAGCCCCCAAAAACTAAATAAGTTTTCCCTTCACATATATAGCAAGTTCAGGTGTCTTGTATATGCAGTCTGTCATTTCTTGAAGTGTAAATTTGTGCTAAATTTGCACAATAATTAATAAGGCGATAAATATTTTAGCCATGACTCCAATATTTCAGATTTCTACATTTCAAAAAATAAGTTGGAGAAATCAAACATTAAATAAACATGTAAGTGTAGAACATGTCAGATTATGCATGTTTGAGGCTTCTTTTGTTTTTGCATTAACACCAAGGTTTATGAAAAACTGAAGATTTGACAGATAACATTAACTGACCTAAACAAGTCATTTTTTAAATGGGGAGGGTGGTAAACCTTTCTCCAGTAGGGGGCGCTGTTGTTATTGATGTACTGAAGCCACTTTAGTCCAGATGTATTGCTCCATGATGCTGATATTTGTTTGTTTTTTCGTCTGACTCAAAGAAAACTATGATGCACTTTAATAGAAACCTTCCAGAGGACGCAGAAAAGTTTGTCTGTGTTTGCTTTGTTTGTCTGAGTCGTTCTGCTTTCATATCCCGGCTGCACTACAGTGCATCGTTTTAGTTTGAGGGTATTCATAACTGATCATTCAGGCCTTGTACTTGTTCAAGTTAAATGCAGGATATCTTTCCATTGTCTGGCTTCACGAACCCCGACAGCCCCAATCAGGCCAAGCAGTCACACGAAGGTTGTTATCAACCTGACAACATGGCCAATAGCATGATCACATGGGCAGCAGTGACTGATTTTTATGTAGTGCACTACTAGAAAAATCTGAGGTGGTTAAACACAAAACAGACTGAAAGCACCGCGGCTGCTGAACCACCTTTGTCATACTAAAACCCAGGTTTAGTCTCAAGTTACCTGGATAAGCCAAAATCCTGCTGTTGGTGTTGGTGGCTGTTATTGGTAGGAGCAGCAAAGTTGTTAGTTTTGTCACTGTATAGCTTTCCCATTTATCCTGATACTTCTCATGGTGAAAAGAATGAACACAAAATGGCATTAACATCTTTACGTATTACAACCCAGTCACTTCTTTGCTTCCTTTAGAAGTTACGTTTTTATTGTCTTTATCTGCTCGGTGGTGTGTTTAAAGCTCAGAGTCGATAGGAAACGTCTGAGCAGCTCTTTATGCTTACATGTGTGTTAGTAACGGCTCTACCAGTGCAAACTCCACAATTGTTCTTTCACTCTGTGCAAAATCTCTCTTTTCCTAACTGTCAGGCTTTGTTTTGTGAATAAATCTGAAGTTGATCCTTTAATGTAAACGTGATTTGTCTTCATTATCAAAAACACGAATCGGAATAAAAACATTTTAAAGAAAAGTCTTTATTTACCTCCGTACATTAAACACCTTCACAATCTCTTTATTAAGATATCAGTGTGTTTATTTACCGTACTTTGTATTGCCCCTAATATTAAACAGCATTATTCCTCAGTAGATACACATTTTCCTTGTCCATCTCATTAGAAAACATTTCTGCTCAAATCAAACCAAATGTACACAAAATGATAAATTAAAAACAACAACTGAAAGTCTGCATCGTCACCTGACAGCTACCTGTTCTCTTTTCTACCTTTGTGTGCAACGTGGTAGGAAAGTATAAACTAGTATGCACGTGTGTCGTGGAACTACAGCTGTAAATATGGAGTCTCAAGTGTCCCAGTGAAATAATATACATCTTAAGTATATCAATTAAAGATTGATTAGATAGCCACAGCTATAGCTCACCTGCTGCTCATTCGCTCCATACTTTCCAGATTACAACCTGAACTGTGCTGCTTAAAGAGAAAAAAGGTTAAACTGGTAGTGTGCAATAAACAGGCTCTGGAGAGAACGTGGGTAGGACTAAAAAGAAATATTAGATCGGTAGAAGAACAGCAAACACTCCAACACCCACTGGGAAATGATCATTATGGGAGCTGAATTTAAGAGACTGGAGGAATCAGTAATATAGCATTTAAGTATATCTATTTTTAAATAAAAGGCACTTCTAAAGTTCGCTCATTATCCTTCCAGACAATACACAGAGTCATTACCTGGGACAGCAGCTAGTTTATATACACATTTTGAATTGATTTACGAGTCACATTATTCCACTGACACACTCCAGGCTCCATATAAATCCATTCTAACATAATTCTGAGTCAATTCCTGCTCCACTTTTGGTCGGCTCTCTTTAGTGTTGACACGTCGGTCCAGACGTCTGCGTCCTTCGCTGCTTCTGTGAATGCTGGACGCGTGAGGGGTGCGTAAAGAAAAGCGCGTAAAGCGGTAGTTAAAAGATTTACACAGTACGATACAGCTGGTCCCAAAAATTCAACCTGAACCGCTCGTTCACATCTTGGAATCTACGATGAAAAAATGAACAGAACAAACCGGACGAATAAATTAAAATATCCTCGTTGACCAACGACTGAAGCGTGTGAACACAACACAGATCCAGATGTCAGCACTCCAACCCAATTCCAAACTCTCACCTTCCAGGTTTGAGTGTTTTGGGATGAGCAGGGAAAGTCGGGACAGGAGAGATCTGACTCCCATCTGACTCTTTGAGCTTTTTCACTAACAGAAGAAAATCAGTGTTGATCAAACAGTGCTTTGGTAAACGTCTCTGTGAAAGGATCTGGATACAAACAGAGAATCTCTTTGCAAACGTAGCATCGTAACACGTGAAAAACATAAATACGAATCATCACATTTCCTCTGACATTAAAATTATCCGATCCATACTCTAAAGAATCAAACTACAACTTGCACTTATAGCTAATAAAACCACCTCCCAGAGTTCTTTGTACACCTAAAGAAGTGTTTTATATACTGTACATACACTCCATCGTACAGTATATAGGCTCTACATTTAATCTCATGTTATCATTGATAACATTTTGTATTGCAATCTACATTCAAACTTAGAAAACATTGATTTGATGTGCAAAAACACCCTAAAGCATCCAAAAATGATCTGATGGAAACCTCCCCCTCAAACACCACCACCACCCCCACAGTGCAACTAAAATCACTGGTTGAAGGAAACCGTTTCACATTTTGGGAAATGTGCTCATTTGTTTTCTTTCCAAGAGTCTGATGTGAAGATTCAGTCCTGTGTGAGCAGCGAGTCATTCCTCTAAAGCTCACAGATCAACACGCGTCCTTCAAACTCTGTCACTGACTTGCTAATTAGCAACCCTGCCGAGTAAGGAGTAAGGATACAGAGACCAGAGGGCAGCTTTGCAGGCTGTTGCAGTTTTCCACCAACTTAAAGTTGTTCCCTGTGTAATCTAATCTGTACAGTGTGCGTTTTGGGATTTTTGTGAGGATGGAAATGACCTCACTGCCATGGACGAATATGTCTGTGGATCCAGATATCAGGGTGGGGATTAGGACTAATTTCTGGAATTTTCTTGAACATCACAATTTTTTCTGTTTCTTATATTAATTATTATGCATTTGTGTTGTTCGGGATATAAAATTTGCAATTTTGTCCAATCTCTAGAACGATAAAACATTATTTCAGTTACATCATGGATTCTAATCTGGACTGAGTCAGGCCTGGTTACATTGAGTCAGGCCTCTGGTTACATTTTTTAAGTCAAATCCAAAACTGCTCAAGTGAAACGTCGAAATAGACAAACGACGAATAAACCAGTTGCTAGACTGACTCTAGATTCCAAATAGGCAGTGACTTCAATATAAACGTGCTTCCTCTTTCTTATGGGAAAAAGAGTAAGCTATGCATTTAGCGTTGCCTTGCAGGTATTCTCATCTCCAAACGGCCCATAACAAACCAGGAAAAACCCGGAACAAGGGAAATGAGTCGTAAAGGAGAGAAATTAGTACAATAACTTTTACACTTGCATACGAGTCTGTTTGAAACTGTTCCTGCCCACTCGTGTGACGTTTATGTGGGATTTTTCATCCACTGGTTAAAATCTGATTGTTGGGGTTTCTCTGTATTATTGTAGAGTCTTTACCTTACAATATAAAGCGCCTTGAGGCGACTGCTGTTGTGATTTGGTGCTATATAATAGGTATAGTAATGACACTATAAAACTATGTTCTGCTGCTCCACATTTGTGACTTTTTAAAAACTTTTCCATTGATCTTTATAATATTTTCTATATTTTCTACTGTATTGCTGTGCTTATAGACAGAGAGGACAGTGCTACTGATCTTTTTATCAGCTCAAAGACAGAAACCCACTGACTACATTTCCCACAAACCACTATTCAACCTATTCCTTTAAATTATCTTTTTTTTTTTTTTTTTTTTTTTACAGTCAAGCAAAGGGTCACCCAAACACCTCTACATTGCTACCTGTTAAAAATCTAATTTCTTCATGCTCAAAGCTACAAATGAGTTACATCTCTTTTTTTTTGCATATCACTTCTCATAGCTTAAAAGTCTTTTTCTGCAGCAGGTCACATAAAGAAGTAATATATTATATGCATTGATTGCTAAATAGTTTCAGTAGATTTATGTACAACATTGTTCGAGTGCTGAGTGTGCAGCTGATGCTGTTAACATGCCTACAGTCGTTTGACTATTATTGTGCGAGTTATTTTAGATTTAGTCAGAAACCTAAAAGCTAAATGTTGTGGAAGTGGAGACTAAGCATGGCTTCATTTAGCAGTATGTTTGACAACCCTGCTGCATCACTACTTCACCCACACCCAGGTCTGTTTGCTGTAACTCAGGTCCACGTGCTCAACACTTTGGGCCCAGTTTATGCTGGTAAAAGCTTCTTAAATCATTTTTAAAATCTAAATGTAGTGCAATATTTGCCATCCACAGCGAATCTGCACGTCGACCCTCCACTGAGAAAGCTGCGTGCTTTACAGTCACTGTTGTTGAGCAAGTACATCTTTTTCTTCAGTGTGTGTTTTAAGGATGACGGCGGCCCGTTCACTCGTGAAGCGTGCTGCAGCTGATGCCGGTCCAAGTGAAAAGCAACGCAGCCACCTTTCTTTTCCTTTTTGTTTTTAGTTTCTTTCCTACTAGATTGTTCCTCGTAGTCACCTCAGGTTCAAAGTTGTGATCTTGAGCTGATTGGAAGTTGAACGAAGAGCCGACAGGATGACGATGGATGCTCCGATATATGCCAGAAATCACACACATACCATACGGCTGTTCTGCATGCGTGCCTGCGTGTACATGCTTACGCCAACTTTGAAAACCGTCTCGCACCCTCCCAGGTCATCGCCCTGTGGAGGTGGTGCCGCGTCACTCGGCCTGGACAGCAGCAGGTGGGAGGATGCCCTTGTCTCTCAGGTGGGACTGCAGAGTATGGAAGATGCCGAGCTGCTGCTCAGGCTGGAGCAGCAGCAGTTGCTGCAGCACTTTGCTGGGGTTCGGACCTCTGCAAGAGGAAAGAAATTCAAGCTTCAAGTTTGGCAATTAAAGCAAAATAAAGCACGAGAGCACTCAAACTTTCCTTTCATCAGGGGGAAGGCGAGAACCTCCAGTAACCACTACAGAAAAAAGGAACCAACAAGCTGCAAGTGACGTTTTGAACTACTGACTGAAATTTCACAAAGAGTGAAATACATAGACTGTACGTAAAGATGGATGGATCGGCTTGAGCTGAGCATTTCGGCCGTCGTCATCTTTTCAAACTAGAAGCTCTTGGACACCGTTGGTGGTCATCTGATTGTTGGGGTTTCTCTGTATTATTGCAGAGTCCTTACCTTTAGATATAAAGCGCGTTGAGGTGACTGCTATTGTGATTTTGCACCTTATAAATAAAACTGAACTGAAGTTAGCCGAGTTGGATTGACATTTTTGAAGAACAGTTACAGAAGTCAAAGTATTTTTGCTCGATGCCCACGTTAACGTCATTTTGAAACAACATCCACCTGTTTATCCTGATGGCGAGTGAGACTGATGTGAGGTTTTTCAAATAGCTTTCCTTTGACATCTGGAACGTTTTGGATTATTTAAACCAGACCAGCTATATTGTGTCAGTAATTTTACACAATCTGGTAAAATTTGATTCCAGTGTCACCTTTAGTCACATGACCCTCTGACCCTGACAGCATGTAGCCGGCGGTAGGGCTGCTCAATTAATCGAATTTTAATCTCGATTGTGATCTGGGCTTTCAACGATCATTAAAAATGACTGAGCCGATTATTAGCCCCTCCCTCGTGCTTTACTCTCGCACCGCTCTGCGTTTCGAACACGCGTCACAACAATTGAGAGGACCCGAGGGAAGCTCGGAAAGCTAAGCAGAAGTTATTTGGGGAGGAGAGTGACTGCTGTTGGTTGAAAAGAGAGGTAAAAACCCTTCAGTTGTGTGGAAGTCAGACGCGGAGTCAGACGTGGATCAAGTAGACACAGTGTGTAAACTTTGCTACGGTGTAGCTGCACCACAGAGCAACACTGCAAAGTTCACTAAACGTAGATGTTTACATTTTTCATTTATTTCTTATATTGCAAACATTTGCACTGTTATCAGTATTTGCACTATTTTATATTATTTTTGACAATCTTTAAAGTCATTATTCAACACATTGTTATTGTTAAATAAATATCGTCAAATAATCGAGATCTCAATTTCAGTGAAAATAATCGTGATTATCATTTTTGCCATAATCGAGCAGCCTTAGCTGGCGGTTGTGGCTCATATACTGTGGCTGAGGGGTTTGTGAACTGCCTTGCCAGTAAAATCAATTAAAATTACACACGATTGAAACACATCTAAATGTTCAAAAGACGGAACTACCACAGCAGCACAAAGTTCCTCTATGAGAACTCATTAACATTGCCAGCGCTTCCTACCTGACAAAGCTGGCAATATAGACGTGTGTGAAGGTGGCCATCAGGTACTGGCAGTCGAAGCGGTCCATGATGCCTCCATGGCCAGGGATGGTATTGGCAAAGTCCTGAAGGAGAAGACACAGAGCATGCTATAGCATCCAAGCTGTGCTTTTATCCATAATATGATAACTACACTGTGTGGAAAAGATGCTATTTTTAAAGATCGCTTGTCAAATACAGTGGGGCAAAAAAGTATTTAGTCAGCCACCGATTGTGCAAGTTCCCCCACCTAAAATGATGACAGAGGTCAGTAATTTGCACCAGAGGT